TTCCACATTCAAAACTACAACTACCGGTATTCAGGAATTAAAATGCCCTTTTTCACTGGGCAGGTAAGTGTACAAATTGCCTGTCCCGGTTTTTGACAGTTTTTACCAACCATCAAAATAGGGGTAGTCCACAGTTGCTAATATTTTGAAAATTGCTTTCATAGTTTTTAAAACTTATGAAATGATGAGTCTAGAAATTTTTTTTTTGCTAGGGACTGGTACATCTCAACAATTTGGACAAGCAACTTTTATTCTCCAACCAGTCCAATGTACAGGCAATTTTATTTCCACGTCTGCTATTTCTTGAAATCTGATAATTTCCAGCTATATTTTTTTGTTATCGAAAAATCTGTATTAGAAGCCGCATCCCTAATAGAAGTTGTACCCATTCTTTTTGAACAACTGAGAACCAAAAATTCATCATTTCTCATATGTATAGATGCTTTTATAGAAGCCACATACCCTCTGTTTGCATTGTAACATGTCAATAGAAGCCGCAGCTTCTAATACATATTTTTTTGTTTTTTACATTTTTTTGGCCTAAACAGGTTGGATCAAGACTTTTGAGTTATACTTTCGTGATCAAACTCAACATATCTTGGACAATATGGTGGTAAAATTACTAGAAGATAAAAGAAGAAAGTTTATATGGGCAGAAATCTCTTATTTTTCACGATGGTGGGAAGGTGTTGATATGAATAAAAAGAAACAAGTGATAGAGTAAGTGAAAATAAACTACTGTAAAATACTAAATTTTTGTTTGAAATTAATTTTTGCTAATTTCCCTGAAGTGATGATCCAGTGAAAATAAAATCCAGCGAATATACATTTTTTCTTATATTTTACATTCAACTCGATGAAAATACATTCCATACGAAACACCCAAAAAGTCTTTTCAGCGAAAATTAATCCGAGCTAAAATAAAGTATTTTACAGTAATTGAGAAAAATTTTCACCAATTTTGTGTGTCAGTATAAATTCATGAGATGATTTCATACAATAAGTGAGAGTGATTTGAACTGACATATCCAAATGGCACCATATGTCTAGCAAGAAAATAAACAGTCTGTCTAAAATGACAGGGAGACAGGTGGCTGGCTGAAAGCCTGCCAGGTATTGAAATAGAATTTTTTCTCAGCATTCACACGGTGCATCTTGGATTTAATAATAATAATGTTTATTCCATACTATAGGCCACTTGCCCAAAATACAAAACACCCCAAAATCCATGAAAATTAATTCCAGCTAAGAAGTATTTTACAGTAGAGCAATGATAAATATTTGAACTTTTCTGCTGAGTTTTGTTATATATTTCAATAAAATCATGTGATTTATTTGTTATTAGCAATCATTTCAACTTCATATTCTAAAATTTGCTATGTACAGACTGAAAAATAACATAGATAGTGCAGTGTGTATTACTTTGAAACCATCTATGATACCTAATACAACAGCAAGTCTTCGATTCGTACCCCAGTCATTCCCCAAAAAGATGCCTAGCTAAACTTATTGTTCATCATTACTCAATCAACGCATTTCAAACCAGAGAAACAGTGACTTGTAATTGTTTTTTGTAGACTTTTAAGTCGAGGCCAGTTAGAAATAGTGAGTGGTGGATGGGTCATGCCAGATGAAGCCAACACACACTACTTTGCAATGTTAGACCAGATGATAGAAGGACATACATGGGTAGAAGCACATCTTGGTAAGTACATTATGTAATGCTGATTTATTTTTACAAAACCTGACTCAAAGACTCGCAGGGTAGACCACCAGGAACTTTGGTGGGGGGGGGGGGGCAGATTTGAAAAAAAAAAATTTCACAGAAAAATTCTGCATGTTTATTTCTTAGAGAAAAATTGTTACACACAGAAGGAATTAAACAAATTACAGTAATTTCATTATTGAATAAAAATAAAGGAAAAAAAGTGAAGGGTTGTAATGGTTCAACCCAGGGATTTTTTTAAACAAGGGAACAGGGGCGCAGCGCCCTCATGCGCCCATGGCCATGCGCCCTCACCCTATTTTATTTCTTAGAGAAAAATTGTCACACACAGAAGGAATTAAACAAATTACAGTGAATTCATTATTGAATAAAAATAAAGGAAAAAAAGTGAAGGGTTGTAATGGTTCAACCCAGAGATTTTTTTAAACAAGGGAACAGGGGCGCAGCGCCCTCATGCCATGGCCATGCGTCATTACCCTATTTTATTTCTTAGAGAAAAATTGTCACACACAGAAGGAATTAAACAAATTACAGTGAATTCATCATTGAAAAAAAGTAAAGGAAAAAAAAGTGAAGGGTTGTAATGGTCCAACCCAGAGATTTTTTTAAACAAGGGAACAGGGGCGCAGCACCCTCGTGCCATGGCCATGTGCCCCTTACCCTGGGGAGCAGATCTTCTGGCAACCATAAAATTCTGATTGGCCAGGGATCACAGGTGGTCATAGTTTTAAACTGTGCCCTGTCTGATTTTGGCCCCAAGGAAGCCATAGAATGCTCCATTACTTTACCCATAATCTTTTGCTTGAGAATCAAGATGACTGACTGCATAATACTGATATAAAGTTGAATATCTAGAGAATGAAAAGTGATATAAAAAAAAAGTAAATTGCATTCTCCTACATTTGTTGAGCTTTTTCTTTAGGGGTCATTATGTTGTTTGCTTTGATGTTTTCTTTATAAACTTAGAATTATCAAAAACTTCACACCCTTGTAGGGAGAACCCTTATAGGCTATCTTCCCCACTTGGTGGCGCCACTGAATTTCAGTGCTCCCTCTTGCATTTTTTTTTCTAGAAAAAACTCTGCAACCCTTATATAAGTTTTTATGAGTAATCTTTATTGTGTGCTATTCCTAGGTATAAAACCTACAACTAGCTGGGCCATAGATCCATTCGGACATTCTCCAACTATGGCTTATCTTCTGCAGCGTTCTGGTATTCAGGGTATGCTAATTCAAAGAGTTCATTATTCAGTGAAAAAATACTTGGCAAAAGAAAAACAGTTGGAGTTTCTATGGAGACAAAATTGGGGTAAGTACTTAACTCAAATATTGTTCTTTTGTATGTCAACTGTCATTATGCTATTGTACTATCAGATGAAAAGTTTTCTTTCTAATGATTTTCATTTTTGTGAAAAAAAATGAGTAATTCAGGCAAGTATGAATATGCAAGATGTCTCTGGGTCAGTGTGCCCTCTACACTGATATGCCAAATGCCCCTCAGGTCGTGCCCTCTCAAGCCGATCACTGATTTGCAACTATAGTTATGCATTTTCCCTACTCTCCAGCTGTAACAAAGCTCTTCAAACTTGATTATTGAGATTTCATTGTGGCTGGAAACCTTTACAAAATCATCTTTGTTAAAAATTACATCGGTAACCCGTTTTTAGAGAGCTGCAAGGCTGGACTAATTCTATGTACACGCTAGTAAATATAGCTAATAGCGTACTATAAACAAATGAATACTGTAAAATGACTAATTTTCACTGGGTTTAAATTTCACTGATTTGCCATTTCAGACATATTCAGTGGGTTTTAAATTCACGGTTTTATCATTTAGATGATGTATTCTATGCTAAATTTTACATATTCACTGGGTTTTAATTTAGCGCATTTTCCAGTCAGCGAAATAAGCTAAATTAAAACCCAGTGAATAATTACCCCCCTTTACAGTAATAGCAGGATGTGCACAAAATTGATAATCCATGACGCATGTAGTACAGAGGGTGACTGTCATTGTATACTTTATTAGCTCCACTGTCCCCATTATTGAGCAGAGCTTATCATATGAGTGATTGTTTGGTGTCTTCTGTGTCAACTTTTTACATTTTCGACTTCTGCTTGGAAACTACATATCTGAATGCTTTGATACTTGGTGTATATGTACCTTGAGTAGACCTCTCTTAGATTTGTTCATTTCATGATGATATCTTTTATTCTCTAATTTTGGTGAATATTTTTGTCATTTTTGGTAAAAAGTGATATTTTCGACTTCTTTTTAAAAACCACAAGTCCAACAATTGCTTTGATATTACATATATAGATACTACATGTTGACCGTTCTCAGATTTGTTCATTTCGTGATATCTTTAATTCTCTAATTTTGGTGAATATTTTTGTATTTTTTGGTATAAAGTTATATTTTCGACTTCTTGTGGAAAACCATGAGTCTGATTGGTAGGTACTATAAGTGGACCTCTCTCAGATTTGTTCATTTTGTAATAATATCTTCAATTATCTAATTTTGATGAATACTTTTGTAATTTTTTGTAAAAAGTGATATTTCTGAATTCTTGTTGAAAACAGCAAGTCCGATTGCTTTGATACTGTACAATACATATTGTTCATTTTCTAATTTCTTTAATTGAAATGTGCTCTGCTAACAGTGGGGCTATCTCAGCCGACAGGCTGCTTGTTGTTGTTAACATTTGATTGTTTTATATACAGACCCAAGTTGCATATGTCTGTCATTGTCTGCATTGATGTTGTTGTTAACATTTGATTGTTATATATACAGACCCAAGTTGCATATGTCTGTCATTGTCTGCATTGATGTTGTTGTTAACATTTGATTGTTGTATATACAGACCCAAGTTGCATATGTCTGTCATTGTCTGCATTGATGTTGTTGTTAACATTTGTCTTGTTTCATTGTTTACACAGACCATGGTTCAACTACTGATATGTTTTGTCACATGATGCCATTCTATAGTTATGACGTACCGCATACATGTGGTCCAGATCCACAAGTATGTTGCCAGTTTGATTTCAAGCGTCTTCCTGGAGGGAGGGTGACTTGTCCTTGGAAGATCCCACCAGTTCCTATTACAGATCTCAACGTAGCCAGCAAGTAAGTCTTGTTTATATCCAATTCGAGTGAAGACATTTCAATAAAAGTTTAGGCAACATGTGAATTCCAGGGCTCAAAATTAATGGTTGACTGGTTGTTAGCATGGGACAATTACATGTGAAAACTAGTTGCCTATTGGAACAAAAATAAATTGATGTACATGTTTTTTCATTCAACATTAACCTATACTTTGCTGAAGAAAAAAATAACGCTGCCAATTAGTTTTTCATGAAAATATCAACTTGAGAAAATAACAACTTCATATTGAAAGTACAGTGATCATGCTCAGATCTTGTTTAAAATTTGCATTTTGTGAGATTTTAGTGTGTTTTTGATTGAACTGTGAAACAGTTATCTTGTTTGAATCTTGTATTTTGAGATTTCAGTGTGTTTTAGGTTGAACTGTGACGGCGCTATTTTGTTTAAATCTAGCATTTTGTGCAATTTCAGTTTGTGTATGATTGAACTGTGTCGGTGCTATCTTAAA